CAAAACCTCATCACCAACCAAATTTGCCATAGGGTTGGTGATGGAGGAAGCACATCTTTCTGGACCAATCCCTGGATTGAAAACCCCATGCTATCCTTATGGTATCCACTTCTATATAGACTTTCTCATAGCAAAACAACCATAATCCAAGAAATATGGAATGATGTCAACAAATTCTAGGACTTGAAGCTTGGTAGGAACTTAAGGGTTAACGAAGTTACAGAATGGGCTGAATTAAGCCTCAACCTCACCTCAATTGTATTGTTTAAAGAAGCAGACTCATTGATATGACTTCCTAATGCTAACGGGGTCTTCTCTACAAAATCTTTGATAATGGACCTAAGGAAAAAAAGTAGAAGCAATAAGCCCCACGCTAACAAAGACAATATGGAAAGGAAATCACCCTAAAAAGCTGAAGTTCTTCTTTTGGGAAATAACGCATAAAACCATTAGCATAAGTAAAAATCTACATAAAAAAGAATGTTCTATAGGACTCTATTTCTAAAGTTGGTGCCCACTATGCAAGAAATACAGCGAATCACAAAACCACTTATGGCTTTCTTTTGGACTCTATGGAAAGAAAGAAATCAAAGAGTGTTCATGAAAAAAGCCCAAACTTATACTATGCTCTTCAAATATCATGAAATTATCTCTTATAAAAAAAATGAAGACCTTTATTGAAAAATTCGAAAGGAGGTTATCAACATGGTCCTCAAGATACACATCCAAAGGTAGCAAGCTCACCCTAATACAAGCCACATTATCCAACCTTCCTACTTACTATATATTTCTATTCGAAATGCCTTACAAAATGGCTACAAAAATAGAAAGATTGTTCAGAAGCTATCTATGGAAAGATGTCCCACATCTTGTCCGACGAAATACCATAAACCTCCTAACTTAAAAGGGAGGTCTTGGGATTATATTTGATGAAAGAGCATAACAAAGCCCTCTTTGCCAAATGGAGCTGGAGAAATTACCACGAATGTATCACCTTGTAGAGAAATCTTACAAAGGTTAAATACGCTCCCACATCATGCACAAATGGATACCCCCCACCAATTGTCTTTTTTAAAAAAAAAAGTTGAAGAATATCCAATCAGCGTACCTTAACTTGCGCACCCTTCAGTTCAATGAAATGATTCTTCAAAAAGGGAGGAACCTTTTCAGGTCCTGGAACAGAAATAGCAGAAACCATCAGAGGCAGCAAGAGAGGGATATTTGTTTGAACAAGACGACTATACAGCTGGAAAAGAAACATCACGACCAGTGGACTCTCTGTTACTATCTTAAATGAACGGGTACTGGGATTAAGCTGCATAGTCCCTGTGCATCCGGCAGTCATTGACTGGTCCGATGTAGTGGATACATCCGTGGGCTTTAGATCTTCGTCACCGGTAGCTGGATTGTCAAAAAAATGGTTTACGGTCAACTTAAAGTTCTGGTAAATTTTGCACACGAAATCAAGGAATGGCTGCACTTCATGTTCTAGAGTCGGTCTAAAATTTCTGAGGAGATCGAAGATTATGCGGATACAAATTAAGCCGTTCTCCTCGTTATCTGTGGTAAGCACTTGCATGGCAACCTTTAACATGTCCTGCACGAAGGGTCTTAAAACTTCACTGTGAGGAAGACGATTAAGGATCTCCACCACAATGTTCCGAAGTTTATTCTCGAGATTATCAGTAAATTGAGGACTTGTAATCTGAAGTAGGATAACGGAGAACGCTCGAAAGTAGCATTTCAGAAAATTCAAGTACTCGGGTGTGTGAGCAATCTCCAGGCTATCTCGAACCTCCGTTGCCATCTGAAGCCTTGTCTGAATACCTGCTCAAAAGTACATTTCAGAACAAAACAAAAATAACAAAAAAAAAAAAAAAAACGGTACGGGTAAGAGTAAGCATTGCTCAGTTTGATCGACAAGAAACAATAAGAAAATATGATAACGATATGGAAATTGGTGCAAAGACCGAGCACGTTGCATCTCCATGGCATAATTTAAGCGATTTTCGAAGTGTAATACTAAAACAAATTAGATAAACGTGATAAGCAACAACAAATTCAAGATCAAATTACCTAGTTTCTTAGAACTAATGGTCGCAAAGACAAATGCGTTCACGCCCGATCAAAGAAAAGAGAGATAGATAGATAGAGATAAAGAGAGCGTACTGAGTTCAGGCTCAACGAGGTGGCGAGAATGTTGCTCGAGGTTCTGAATGGGACTCATGACGTTCTTGAAATAGCGAAGAACACGACGAGAAGGAGCTCGGTAATTGTAGGACGTTAGACGGCTAAATATCGAGAGCGTTAGGCAGTTCCAGCAGCTTCTTCTTCTTCTTCATACTCCTACTGTGATTTGAAGCGCCTTCATCGATCAGTATTAACAAGAAAGAACGGAATCGTACGACTCCAGTACCAGAATTGTGCGGTGAATTCGATTACCTCCCCGGTGCTTAAAGGCTCGATGATCTTGTTCTGCGAAAATTGCCAACAATCCCAGTCGAATTTCTGTTTCCCGGGTAGACTTGGGATCGTCCGCAAAGGCAATCAAGCATAAACCATCGCGGGGAAAGCAAGCCAGTCTTTGTAGACTTAATGATTGGACTGGAACCGACTGGGCTACTCGGCCCATTGGCTCACATTTTGGCCGACCTCTGCATGTGTTCGTATAATACGTCCATTTTTGTTCCTGCCCCGACCTCACCAAATTCTTGTATAGTTCATTATATATAAAATTAGGTTCAAACCAAATTTAGTATTTATTTATATTTTCTTTCTTTATCTACCCATAGTAAATAATATATCTTTTATATTATATAAATGTATGTATTATAATATTTAAATTTGAATTTTTATAAATTATATTAAATGATTTTTAATTCTCATATGTTACTAACTTTATAATAAATAGTTTAAATTAAATAAATTTTTGCATCTATATTAAAACTATACAAACTCAGTTACTACCTTAATTTTTAAATTATATTGGAGTGAAATGATTCCATTCAAATTATTTGTTAATTTAAATTAATAGATTTTTAGTTAATATATCGTTACTTTATATATTTTTTTATTTCATAATTATTTTTTTATTCTTTATTTTTTCAAACAATTTTGTTAACTATTTGAAAATGCAATTTTTTAAAATATAATCAATAAATTTAAATATTAATTAAATGTTTTACCTTTAAATTTTATTTATAAATAAATATATATATTTTTTTTTTTTTGAGCCACACAAACTAATCCAGCCAAAAAAAATTATGTTGAATTAGGTTTACTATTTAATAAAAAAGATTGGGTTATAAAATTGTCTCTGCTTAACTAATTCGATAAATATTAATGGATTCAAATTTAAAAAAAAAAAAAAAAAAAAAAAAAAAAAAAAAAACATATAAATTTTATAAAATCATACGGTTTTTAATTGAGAAAATGAGAGGGTGGAGTGGGGGCGGAGCGGAAAGGTTGGCGCCGAAGGAATAGAGAGGAGAGGAGAGGAGAGTAGTCCTAATCTTAAAACAAAACCGGCCGGAACTAACGGAATTAAGATGGGTTAACCACCGCCGTTGTCAACTTCAATCCAACAAAATTCTCCAGTGAAGTGGACGCGAAGTAAACAAAAACTAAAAAACTCCCTAATCAATTTCATTAACCTCCTCCATTTTCCGCCCTAATCCAACCCCTTTAAAACCCACCTCATTTTATCCATCTTTTCACACTCAATTTTCATCACAGTTCCCCTACGGAGGTTTCAGCGGCGGCGCTACAGCGACCATGGACGGAGAACACGGCGGCGAGCGGCTGGTTGTGCAAGGTAGAGCGGAGATTGACACTAGAGCCCCGTTCAAATCCGTTAAAGAGGCCGTCACGTTGTTCGGAGAAAGAATATTGGTGGGGGAAATTTATGCCAAGAAAATGAAGGAAGTACGTATTTTAATTTTTCTTTATCAATATTAATTACAATTTATGCCTAAAAATTTGTTTAAAAGCCCAATAATTCCACTGTATTTTATTTAGTTTTTAATTAATTTTTTTAATATTACCAATTAAGAAATATATATTTATAATGATGTTTTATCAGAGGGTGGAAGTGGGAGAATCGCAAGCAAAGCAAAATGAAGAGAACAATCTACTAGCTTTCTGCCTTCAATCTCTCAAAGACGAGCTCGAACGCACCAAGCAAGAACTCGAACAACTCAAATCAACCGAACATGAAAAACCGCACCACGAGCATCCTCTTTCATCAACAATGGCAATCCATCCCGACGTCGACAAAGATCCAAAATTCGTACAGAATAAAAAAGAAAACAACACGAACATGTTGCAGAAAAAGAGAAGTGTAAAATTTGCAGTCCCTCTTGAATTGAACCAAAACATATCTGTGAAATATGAGTCCATGGCCCAAAAGTCATCATTGTCTCCGTCTTCGACTAAGAAGCCGAAGAAAAAAACTTTAGCCTATGTGATTGAACGATTTTTCACCAAAAAGAAGAAAAATCATCAATAAGCTTCATTGTTGCGATTATTTTGATTTATGGCTTTAGCCGATTAATTAGGCATGCAAATTTGATACGGGTCTTGCATGCTTTTTTTAATCTTTTTGATAGTCCTATCAAGAAGACGTTTTTTTTTTTTTCTTTACAGAATAAATGTTCCATCCACGTGTTTTAAGTTCGAAATTTGAAAATTTTGAAGTTAATTCGACAATTTATGATTTTTAGCGCTACAAATTGGTGAATCGTCACATCGTTGATAAGGCATAAAATTTACAATATTAAACTATATTGTAAATTTAATTTCTTAAATGTTTAATTTACATGATTGATGACAAGTTCTTAGAGCATACAAAGTAGATAATCTGAAGCCTTGTCTGAATACCTAAATTATTTTTTTTTAAATATATATTTATATGTAAGTATTTTTATTAGAATATAGGCTGTAGTCCACAATCATCAATCTGGGACGAAAGTTGGGCCGTTAGAGCTGAGTTCCAATCCAATAGAAGAGCCCGCTCAGATGGTAAGCGTTCGTATCTTTTTTTCCCGCGACCATTTTAGGCGGTTGAATACGTTTACTGCTAGGGCAAGAAACTGATCGGAATTTGTTTCTCAGAGATCATCATCAGATTTGGAAGAGGAGGGCTAAATTTTCATCAATGGGAGGTTAGTGCAGTTATTTTTGTTCATGTTTGAAGAGATTTCAGGTCTGGCATGGATAACTTTAATTAATTATTGATTCAGGGGCTCAATCCGAAAGGGAGGAGAAAGTGTCTCTGGAGCTAACCGAAGAAACGCTTCAGAGTATGGAAGTCGGCATGACATTCAGAGACTATGTACTTCCTTTCAATTCTCAAGTTTATAATTGAATTTTATGAACGATTATGAAAAAGATTTCTGACGGATATATGATGAGCGTTTGAACGTTCAGTGCTTAGAAAACGGATTAATGCCAATGGTTCTCCGACATTTCTTCACCTCTCTCTGTCTCTTTTTTTTTTGGTGTTTTGGTCATATTGTAGCTTAGTGTTGTAGTTTTTTGATTTTGATGTCATTTTCCTCCCCTCAATTATTACTCTCAGAATGGTAGAATCAGTTCAATGGACTTTCATAGGACTTCAAGCTATCTGGTGACTGCAAGTGATGATGAATCCATCCGACTTTATGATGTTGGTAGTGCAACGTATGGGCCTCTTTAATCAACTCAGTTCAGATTGTTTTCAACAACTCTTCGTGTTCCCTCCATCTCATTGTTTTGGGGTTTTTGTGGTTCCAGATGTTTGAAAACAATTAACAGCAAAAAGTATGGGGTTGATCTGGTTTGCTTCACTTCTCATCCTACAACAGTGATTTATTCTTCAAAAAATGGGTGGGATGGTAATTTTCAATTCTGGAACGTATCTCCTTTCATATGCAAATTCACTCAACTATTTTATGTTAATTATAAATTTTATTTCCTTAGAATCTCTGCGGCTTCTCTCCTTGAACGACAATAAGTATCTGCGGTACTTTAAAGGACACCACGACAGGTTTATTGCTCGTTTCTTCTATTTCTTTGTGTGTTTGTTTTCATTGTGACCATGGCTCTGTATTATTTATCTTCTTCTAATGGAATCATTTACGAACAAGAAGAGCAACTTTTTGGTTTCCCTTTCTAGAGTTGTATCACTCAGCTTATGTGCTCGCAAAGAATGCTTTATATCCGGCTCTCTTGATCAAACTGTTTTGCTTTGGGATCAAAGGGCAGAGAAATGCCAGGTAATGTAATAGACATTAGAAGCTCAGTGTTAGCTCTCATCTCTCCCCTCCCTTCTCCACTCCAATGGGAATAGAACATTCATCAACTTAATTTGAGCATGCTCTTTTGTTAGGGTCTTTTGCGTGTACAAGGAAAGCCAACTACTGCTTACGACGAACAAGGTGTAGTTTTTGCTATTGCCTATGGAGGTTACATAAGGATGTTTGATTCTCGCAAATATGAGAAGGTTTGGAAAGACCGATTTTTACACGTATATATAGTTAACTTTAAGGCCTATTCTTCTTTTGTAAGTGTTTTCCTGGATCTTCTGATGTGGTGAAATTTTTTTAAGTTATAGGGTCCTTTTGATATATTTTCTGTTGGGGAAGACGTATCTGACACAAATGTTGTAAAGTTCAGCAATGATGGGAGACTCATGTTGTTGACAACTTCTGATGGGCATATTCATGTTCTTGATTCTTTTCGAGGAACACTAGTGAGTTTTGTTATTTTTTTATTTAATCTTTCTCATGTTTAGGTGGTTAACATCATTACTTGTATGCTCAAATTGTCTCATATGTGCTATTAATTGCATTGTTTATGTAGTTATCCACTTACAATGTAAAACCCATTTCAAGCAATTCAACGTTGGAGGCATCTTTTAGCCCGGAGGGAATGTTTGTGATATCAGGTAAGCATGTTTCCTGCTTGTGTTTGTCGGATCAAAATCCAAAACTATATCCAGCTGTAATATAAACTTCTTGTAGCTCACACTCATTCAATCTTTTAAAGATAGCTTGTAGATGTTTTCATGTATATTTTGATGTTCTAGTGTGAATATACTCACCTATATTCTATAGTACTTGAAATGTAAAGCCCCCAATTGTCAAAACATATGCTAGGAGGGGCAATAAGGGAAATACATTGATTATGTCTTAATGTAGCCGTTTTGTACAGGTAGCCTTGTGTTTGCTTTTTTTATCTTTCAGTTGCTTTCTTTTGGGGGTTCATCTGGTTTTTGGCTATTGAGAGCGCTTTTGTAAGGAGAATGACCCTCACAAAAGGGTGGCTAAGTACTGCAATTTGCCCTTATGGCAATTTTGTGAAGTAAATTACTAAGTTGTGGGGAGATACCTCACAAATTGTTACTAGAGCAAGTTTCAAGGTGGGGAAGACATGAGGTATGGTGCAACTACAACTCAAAGAAAGTTGTGATAACAATGAGAAGGAGATAGGGAGACTGAGGAAAACATTGGAAACTGATGGACCAACTTGCATAAAGTCAAAAGGTGATTGCCCTTTTGGTTACAAAAGTATCATAGAGTTGAGGAGGCGAGCTAGAATGCTCGCTAGAGGGAGCCTCTTCCCAGAAAAAGAAGAACTTCAAGGGAGACTAGAGCGAAAAACGGTGCAATAAGGGACCCAAAAGTCTTAACCAATGATTAGAGCCAATTTTAAAAAGTTGAAATGCATGTTTTTCAAGAATAGATCTAGACATATGATTGTTCCAAGCATAAAGGTAAGTCAAAATTTATTGCCTAACAGAATCAGAGTAACTAATAGTTGTTGTGGTGAGCTTTAAATCGAGTTTGTCAATAAGTGCTTGGAGACATATCTACGTTGTTTTTGCCGTGAAAAAAACCCAAATAATGGGTGAATTGGTTGGCATGGGTAGAATTCTAGTACAATATGACCTTCCACGCCTCCATTAACACCACATTTTTTCAAGCCGTCTATGGCAGATCACCTCCTCCCGTGATGTTTTTTGGGGCTAAAATACCCAACAATGTTACCTTGGATCATCAGTTGACTAAGAGAGATGTGGTACTTACGAGGCTGAAACCATCTGGTAATGGCCCAAGATTGAATGACAAAATTTGCAAATCAATGAAGGACCAAAATAAAATTTGTCAAGGGAGATTGGGTCTATTTGAAGCTTAGGTCGTACGGACAATAGTTGATGGTGTGATGCCTTATTGAGAGACTATCCCCTAAGTATTTTGGTCTCTATTGATTCATTAGCCGGACTGGCAAAGTGGTCTACAAGCTCGAGCTACCCCTACAAGTCACAATTCATCAAGTATTTTGCATATCTCGACTCAAAAAGGTCGTGGAGGAGACACATCTGGTCCAACCTGAGGATCCTATATTGTTGGACAAGTTTGAATGGGTGCTAGAACCTCAAGATGTACTTGTCTGCTGGTTGAATGGAAAAACCTACCAATGCATGAATCAATATGGGAGTTGTCGAACGACTAGCACGAGATTTCCCGAACTACACCTTGAGGACATGGTGTTCAAGACCCCACAGGGTGACGTTAGGCCTCTGGTTGTCCAAATGTTTGCGAGGAGGTTATAAGGGAAATACATCAAATATGTCTTATTGTAGCTATTTTTATCCATTTTGTACAGTTAGCCTTGTGTTGGCCTTTTTATGTTTTAGTTGTTCTCTTTTGGGGGTTTATCAGATTTTTAGCTGTTGAGAACGTCCTTGTATGGAGAGAACAGCCCTCTTGAAAGGCTGGCCAAGTAATGTAATCCGCCCTTGTTGCACTTTTGTGAAGTATATTACTAAACAGTGTGGCGATATCTCACATGAAGTCTCATCCATCTTCAATTTAGTGATTATATATCAAAGTAAAAGGCCAATAGTGACTTATTCAGATTGGAGGAAGGGAGGGGCATAAAAACGAATTCAATGAAGAGTTTAGTACTGTTTTCACTTTTGCACTCTTAACCTTTTTGGTGTTTGCGCATGTGACAGGTTCGGGAGATGGCAGTGTTTATGCATGGAGTGTAAGGAGTGGAAAAGAGGTATTGAAAGTTCCCAACTTTATTCCCTTTTTTTTCCACATTCAACTTTTCCTTTCATAATTTCCCACCAATCAGTTGTTACATTATTGTGGTCCAAAACATCATATCGCGTGACTTCATAGAACAAGTAAATGACAGAGGATTCTAATTGCCGTAACTCAGATCAGAATCTTGTTATGCGTCGCTATTCTATCTTTGTCTAAGATAAACAGTTTGAATGTTTTAGTTTTGGTACGAATTATAATTGGATATCAAATGCAAGTTCATTACCATGACCGCTGAATGTATCAATTGTCATTAAATTGAGGATTAGATATCTTTTTAACTGCATGCTTGAGAATTCGATACTTAACAGGCCCTTCGCTTTATTACTTCTGTGTTTATGTCCTACCCAGGTTGCAAGCTGGATGAGTTCTGAAATGGAACCTCCCGTCATAAAGTGGGCTCCGGGAAGTCTAATGTTTGCGACTGGATCTTCTGAACTGTCATTTTGGATACCTGATTTGTCTAAACTGGGAGCATACGTAGACAGAAAGTAGAAATCTTGTAATTTGCATCATCGTTGTTAAACACCGGTGAAACGACCTCTCTAACATCAGTCATGGGGGACATGGCAGCCTGTAGATAGCATCCTCTTTTTCAAATCTTGTCTCAGAGAGGATGTACAATAGAAAAGGAGCAGGAACTCTGCATTGTATCTTTGGTTATCACCAAAACAAGGTTTTCATAATCATTATCGGTGCTTAACTAGCCACCCGACATCAACGCTTGAACTTTTAACTAGCTTACTCTGATAGAAAGTATCTAAAAGATGTAAATCATGAAAGGAAGACTGTTCTTAAGCTGATACGTGATTATAGAACCCAATATGTTCACAATCCCATTATTGATTTGAAGCAGCCGAATTTTTTGTTTTTGTTTTTGGGTCGAGTATTCACAAGTCAAAGGCTCTACAAGCATGATTGTACGTACGTATCTCCCTTGTAACAACATACTGTATTCTCTATTTGCACTTGGTAAGGTTAAAAATGGTAACGTAGTTGTTTTTTCTTCTGTATGTTATATAATTCATACCTAACCAAAATTTCCATTTCTTTTCTGAAATGTGTTGGAGTAACAGGTAGAAGAAAAGGGGGGTTGTTGCAGAAAGAGCATGGAGGAATATAGTGCAGAAGAAGTGTCAGTTGTGATGAAAATAAGAGAGCCAAAATGGAAGGGAGATTTGATCTTTTGAAAAGCTCTAAATTGCAAATGAAAAGAAGAAAAAAGGGCATGCGTGAGTGCATGTCATTTGCCCCATGTTACTGGTAAAGGACATTACGTACTGGAAGCCTCAAAAAGCTTTGAAGATCTTCTTCGATCCACAACTAAATTTTTAGTGTACCTACCAGCCATGAATAGAAGAGAAGCTCTCTTCACTTTTTCTTCACTCCCCCTCCCCTCCCCTCTCTCTCATGTGGACTCTCTCACCTCCCTAAAGCCCATTAGAGTCATTCGGAAGCCATAAAGTATGACAATTTGTCAAACCAAACAGAGAAACGCATCCCCGCCCAATATCTTTTTGATTGGGACCTTATCTCAATGCCTCATTTTACAAGCATCCTGGGATGGAGACCCCGACCCCACTTTTAAATCACAATAAAAAGTTTGCTTTTAGTTTAATTTGATCATTTCCATTATTGAAGAGTATTGCACTTTCATAAAGGAGAGCAGTTTCTTTTCGATAATTTATTCACCGCATGGCCTAAATGTCTACCTATTAGAGGCGCACAATAATTGGTTTCCAACCGTATTGGCAGATAAGAAAGGCCAAGATCCAAACTTGACGTCCATACATTACTCTCACATTTGACTCCAATGTTCGAGAAAATAAAGTAGGTTGAGAAAATGGTGTTAGAAAAGGTGAAGAGAAGAAAAGAAAATGTGAAATAATAAAGTGCAATTTACGAAGAAAAGTGGTTCAAACTTCAAAATATATACTCTCTATGAAAACGGCTGCATAGACATTCTCCATCTCTCATCATTTCATTCTATTCACTTACACTGCTACACTACACTATACTATACCATACATTACTCTCTCTTCCACTTATTCAATTTCAAATCATTGCAAAATCTTTTCTACAAACTGTACCATTACCATTACCCCAACCCCCCCATGATTCTCCTCCCCTTCCCCAACAAAACCCTAATTTTTTTTAAATTAAAAAAAAAATCCATTATTTATTTTTAAATAGCTAACTAATTTATTGAATAATGTATGAAATAATGATTATGTTAAGTATCTATTAGACATAAAATTAGAATAATGATCAATTAAGCTCATAAAGATTAAAAGTTCAAGAATTTATTGTTTTTGTAAAGTTCAAATATGAAGACTTATTTGACACGAAATTTAAAATTTAAGCCTTCTTTTGATTGTTCTTGTGAATTTTAAAATATTATTGAAAAAAAATTACAATTTTTTTTGTTATAATTAATAGTTAAAAATAAAACTATAGAAGTAAAATATATCATTTTCTAAAATAAGGGCTTTATCTTTACTATATTAAAAAGTGGATGTTGGAGTCTCAGTTTTGAACCATTTTACTCAACTCTTTAATTCATCATTTTATACTTACTACTGGTCATTTATTCCATTATTTCTATTAAAATTAAAATAATATTTGAGTTATAAAATTAAAATAAATCACATATTAGATAAAAAGATTTTTTAAATAATAATAATAATAAAAAAAACCTCAATCAAATATAAAATAATTATTTTTGGATTTTTATGGGTCTAAATTATAATATTTATCTTAAAAAACACGAGGGAAACAGGGCTTCCACGGTCGGGATCATATAATAAGAGACAAAGATATTCTTAATTTCAGTTTTTCAGTACCTAATTAATTAGAAATTAAGCAAACCCATTTCCTCAGCTGGGATTAATTAACATCATAATTTAAGATTACTTTATGGGTTTCATCAGATTGCGTCATCCGGTGAGATGGCAGCGTAAGAGTTGAGGCTGAGCTCCAGCGAAGTCCTCGAACCGGTGGCGCCGTCGTCGGAGCGGCCGTACCAAGTGGTAGTATAGTAGCCGTCCGAATATTTCGGCTTCATGCTACAGAAGCCGCCGAGACTCCGGTCATCATGGATGGGGAAAAGGGGGAGAGTTTCGATCTCCTGCTCCTCCTCTTCCATGGATTCTTCAACGTATTTAGTCTTTTCAAATACAGTCGCCGCCGCGGATGCCGGTGAAGAATATGGATCAACGCCGATCCACGACCCCATGTGGTGGCTCCGACGAGACCCCACCATGCTGCTACTTCCTCCCGATGATATCGAACACTCCTAAACATACACACAGAAAAAAAAAAAAAAAATCAATTTTTAGAGGGTTCGAACAGGAGGGTATTGCCTCTCATATCAATTTTAGGAATCACGACTATCCCGAGAACAAAATTTCAATTTTTAGAGGGTTTGAAGTGGTGAGTATTGCCAATCACATCAATTTTAAGAATCACGACTCTCCACTCGTAATAAAATTTCAATTTTAAGAATCACGACTCTCTACTCGTAATAAAATTTCAATTTTTAGAGGGTTGGAAGAGAAGGGTATTATCGGATCATATAAATTTTAGCGGGTTATGTAAATGTTAGGAATTACGACTTTTAAGTGATAATATTGTTAACTTTGAGAATAAGCACTTGATCTTAGTTAATATAGCTGAGTAATGTATCCCATATTTGATTATTTCCTCGTAGTGTAAAGAGCTTACTCTAAAACTGTTCTCGAAAGTGGTAGACCCATATCCGTAATTTCCCATATGGCCGACAGCCACCATAACCGAAGAAGATGGAGCTGCAGAAGAACCCAACACAAAAACAAGACAAAAAAACATAAGATCTTCATACGAACAAAACAAAACGAAGAAGAAGAATTAAGACTCAAAAAAAGGTATACTTGGAGGGCATTTGGTGTGGAACAAAGGAGAGGAAGAGGAATCTTCAGGCTTCGAAGAAACTAAGGAAGATTGTAGCTGTTGTTGTTGTTGTTGTTTAGGAACAGGAATTTGTTGATGATGATGATGATGATCAGAGGCAGAAGAAGTGAACCTTTTCTTCTGTCTTTCACGAGCCTTATGGTTCTGAAACCAATAAAAAACGTTCTTGCCTTCAATTTTACCGTACTGTCTAAGGCGAGCAGAGATCCTCTGGATTTGATCGGCGCTTGGGGACCGAACTCCATTGTTGTAATAAAGCTCCTTCAAGATTCTAATTTGGTCGGTTGTGGGCGTCCACCGAGTGCTGCTTTGCCGGCACACAAACCCCCCTTTGCCGTTGCTTCCTTCTTCGTTTCCCTGAGCAGCTGCCTTTTGATGATCCATTGATGATATCAAAATCAAAAACCCTCATAATAAAACCCCAAAAGGAACAGTTTTTATAATGAAAGAGTGGCACATGGAGTGAAATCACACACCAAATCTGTGAGAGAAGGACTGAAGATGACAGAGAGAGAGATGATCATAAAAAGGGAAGGGACAAAAGAGGGCTTAGAAAGAGTGGGAATCAGTTTCTTTTTTTTTTTTTTTTTCTTAATTTTCTTAATTTTTTTTAAATATATATATATATATATATATTTACGAGAGGGGTTTTGAATGAATGAATGAATATTTGTAGGTTTTGATATTTTTGTTTATAAATGAAAATTTATTTATTTATTTATTTATTTATTCATCAATCCCTTCCATTCTATTCTATTCTATTCTATTCCATTTCATTCTATCTTTTCACCGCAGTGATATTTCTGTAGATATCAAAGATTTTCATGAGTAAAACTGTAAAAACATCTTCTGTTCATCTTCTTCTTGTTGTTGTTGTTCAGATGAGAGGGTTGGGGCCTGGGGGAGAGGGGGGGGTCTTACAGTTGTAGGGTTTCTATTTTATGGTTCTGTGAGGCTACAAAGAGAGGTCGTGTAATGTTAAGGGTTATTGTACTTACAAACTTAGGGAGGCTATACCCTCCAGGCTCCAACCTTCCCTTCTTGTATGGGAAAGGAGAAGATACTCTGTTGCATAAAGTACACCCATTGAACCTCCATCACAGTGAGCCTTATTTCTTTATTTTTCTTTTTTCTTTTCATTTTTTTATAATAAAAAATTGCAACCCTTCTCTTGAATTTACAATATGAGAAAAACCCAGATTTTATTTTTCAAAAATAATAATAAAAATTGAATCTTTATTAAGGGTTAGTAAAGGAACATTCATACCTATTTGAATCTTTAGGGTTTTATAAACCCTAAATGGGTTATTAGAACTGATTATTTATATTTGGAAAACCCCATTGTTATTTATTGTTTAAGGAAAAAAAAACGATCCCTTTTTTTATTTTGATAAAATTTGAGGGGTTGGTTGCAATTTTTTGTTCTAATTAAGGTTTGAAGAACAAGCTTTGTCCAAACCCTTTTCTGCTCATTACAGGTTTGTTGGGTTTGTCTTAAAACTTCTCTTATCAGTAAATAAAATTAATATATATATATATATATATATATATATTACTGTCCCTTACTGATTAATCAACTGAAACCCAGTTTTGATTGATGCCTTGGAACTTGATTTAGTGTTTTTGCCACAGAAACCTCAAATCTACTTCTTTAATTTTTCTTTTTTTAATGATAATTATTATTATTATTTTTTTTTATAAAAAAATAAATATATTGATTAAATTCAAAAGCTGTAAAAAAATATTTAAATGTACGATATTGAGGTCTAGTTCAATATTAGGGGACGGCAGATTATTTTGTATAAATTATTTGAATATTTCCTAACATTATTATTTATGACAACGATATAAATCTTTTATGATTCCAAAAATGATATTTAATATCATTAAGTACCGACTACTCTACAAATAGATCAAAATTTCAGCTTCATATGTTATGTTATGTTAATAAAATATAATAATTAATTAATTAATTAATTAATTAATCCCTATTATCGTTAATAAATAATAAATAAACCCTAAATTTAATTATGGTTTATCAAATATAAAATCTAAGAGAACAACAATTTTTATGAGACAAATATAGCTGCCATATTTAATTATTCTAATTTCCCAATTAAAAATGAGATTTTCATTGGAAAGTTAATTTTAAATAATTAAAAATAGAATCTAGAGTATTTGCAATACAAGGTTATTTTAAGACATAATAAAAAAAAATATAATAAATTGTATTATAACATTAAAACATTCTAAACTATAAAATTCATATGATTAAGTCTCGGAAAGAGAAGGTATATCTCGATGAGATATGTAACGTAATAATTTTTTTTTTTTTTTTTTTTTTTTTTTTTTTTTTTTTTTTTTTTTTTTTTTTTTTTTTTTTTTTTTTTTTTTTTTTTTTTTTTTTTTTTTTTTTTTTTTTTTTTTTTTTTTTTTTTTTTTTTTTTTTTTTTTTTTTTTTTTTTTTTTTTTTTTTTTTTAACGTTTCTTAGTTATTCTATCCCTAATATCACTCTAATTTGGATGTGATATCAGTTTATTGATATACCCTTCATTTACTTGGGTNTCACATACTCGATTCATTCCTAAATCACATCTTATTAGGAGAGGTATTGCTTTGATATCATTTGCAACGGTCTGACTCCAACTCCTGAAAAACACAGATCATTATATTTTCCCGTTCTAACTTTTGTAGGTATATGTACGAAGATTCATGAGAATTCTTACCCATATTTTACCATTTGCTCGGGATTGTCGGAGTTCGTAATTTGTAAACCCTAGAGTTGAGATAAATCCAAACTTATGAGAGAGAGAGTGATAAGTTTTTGTGGAAGAAAAGAAAGGAAAGATAGGAGATAAGATGGACATATATTTTGTGTTGTAGAATCTGTGGATCCCTTTTTGTTTAGTCACTTCTTCTTCCATTTGTTTTCATTCACCATACACATTTTATGCCAAACCCATAATCATTTTTAAATGTCCTTTCAATTCATTTCTTTTTTATTTTCTTTAATTAATTATTTATTTTTTTAAATCTCTCTCTCTCTTATTTAATGCATATATTCCCCAACCTATCAATTCCAACCCAATGATTTAAGTGTGGAATTAGGGTTTATTTTCCCAACTCCCAAGAAGATGTTTTTATGATCTTTGTTAGACAGTCCCCGCTGTCCCACATGTACCTCTAATTAGGGTTTTTCTGCCCCTATCATTTTTTAATTTATTTTTGTTCATGTTTATTAAAAACTAGTTAATTATATGTAATTTAATTAGTTCAATTGGGGGCAACAATTACTTTCTACGAATTAACGGGTCACAATCGGAATTAGAAATATTAAATTAATGAATGTAGAAATCCCGAAGTTTTTTCTTCTCTTTCCAATCTTATATGAAAGTTTTTTCATTGTAAAGCGAACCTTCACCATTAGTAAAGAAATGTAACCTTCACTGTTCGATATATAGAGTATTGGCTACACTGAGGGATTGACCGTGTAGTGAAGGGCAAGTACAAATGAGTATAACCAATGTGTTCAAATGGACCATGGACTAAATGACTATTGCTCGAAAGGGCTATTTGTTGAAGTTGTGAGATGTAAAAATGTATCAGTAAAGGAGTGTTTCACCTTAGAGGGAAGCGCGTGTGTAAGTCTTGATGGATAAAGTGGAAGCTAGAATGTCAGCTTAACATTAGTGAAAATCTAATGCACAAAAAATCTATAGTTCTTCTACGGGACTCGTCCACAAAGGATATAGTCAATGGATAATAGGTGAATATTCAGGTGTTACTCTCTTATTGATCTTGAAGAACGAAAGAGACTAGGTTTGTTGGAAGATGGGTATCAATTCAAGGACGCAAGGTGACCCTTTTCAGAATAAGAAAGGGTAGTCGACATTGAAGTAATCCATGATCGTCTAATACAAAACTCAAACGAGGTGATGAATTGTGAAGTTTTATTGTGTTTATAATATATATATATATATATATATAAAACGTGTGCATGTTTTTTAGTACATAAAAATGATCTACAAAACAATGAAGGTTTGTTGTTTTTTTGTTTATGGGTAAACGTGAAAACACAGAGCTTCTCCTTGAATTCATCCTGTTAACTGTCTCATTCCTTTCTCTAATTCCAACTCTCTCAGAGTCTCTCTCTCTCTCACCTTTTAAAGATTACATAATTTGTTTGATTTTGACATAACCATCATGAGATATGCCTTTCCTTATCATGGGGTTTACCCTAAAAACAACACGAAGATCAAATTTTGATTCTTTTTTCCCCTTAAAAAAAAAAAAAAAAGTAGCTGTTTCTTGCTCCATTCGCCAAAAGAAGAGAGAGAAAACCCTGAGCAGCTTACCTCATGGGGGGAGGGAGTCCCTTTGGTTGTGGGGCAGTAGTCGTAGCCTTTTGGTACACTCACCCCTTTTCTTCCGGGTAATCATAAATCTCTTTTCTCTCTTATTTTCTCACCCATATCACTCAACATACATCACATTCTCTCTTTCTTAAACCCTTCACTTCTAAGGATAGAGACTTGTAACCACATAAACAACACCCTCTAAAAACAAAACTACACAAGGACTTCAACTGCAATTCATAATTACTCACTACTTGTAGAAACCAACCAAAGCTCGTAGTAGTCGGCTCCAAATGGAACATCTTGTTCGAGATGATAGTTCAGGAATAATATGAATTATCAACTTGAGTAGAGCTCAACTTCCGTTAGATTTTTGGTATGTTAATCCGAATAAAGATCATATCTAGAACTTTTGGTGGTTTCATTTTGTTGCAGGTCTGAGTTTTTTACTGATAAAGAAGAGTCCAGTGGCTTTGTGAGGAAACAGGCCCGTTTTAAACTTCCATGCAGAGTAGCTTTTTTCGATGTTGATTTATGGTCCCATCTGAAGTATTGTACAATTCAGGAAGTTCTTTTAATGTAAATTTACCTGAAGGAACCAAATCTCCCTCCTGTAAGTTCAACGATTCATGTTCATGTTCATGACACAGTTGGAGAAGATTCACAAATAGCCTCAAATTTGACTTTATATCAGATAAAACAACGGAAATATACTCAGCAATCTTAATCAGCCCGTCACCCGGAGCATAGAATCAATGAATCAATATGGACACAAAATAAGTCGTTCAAATATCCCGACGAACACCTCCCTCGTCTTCTTCAAGGCAGCTTCAAAATGTTTGATCTGCAGCATTGTTACATTTGACAATTTTGCTCCCGCGGTTGTGCTCGGGATCGATCCATCGGGTGTTCCAAAGTGCAGAAACTTGAACTTCACACCATTTTAGTAACGACTACGACAAGTATGACAGCATCTAAACGTGTTAATATATTCTTGGTACACAAACAAATAAAATCTCATATGCCAACATGATACAGAACTTGCACTCAATCACCTTGTAGCGCTTCATAAATTACTCTAACACCCAACTTCTGATGCCAAATAAAAAAATGATGAAACAGGACTGTTAAATGATGCTACCTTCAGCTGTCTTCTAGATTTACTCTGCTCCTCCTATCCGACGACGTATGCCAAGCCCTACCTGGATTCCGTGGCTCAAATTGAGTGTCGCTTCTGTTTCCAGATCCCCTGGTTCTCATATGACCACCACCGCGCCTAAATGGCTGCCTCCTTATTTCCCTTTCTGATGATACATGAGAAGTTGGTACATCATTTTTACTTGCTTCGTAGGGCAAGGGTTGGATTCCCTGCAAATCTGGTTCTGGAGCATACTCAATTGGCCTTTTGGACTCATCTATTCTCCTAAATGTAATTGATATCCTAGAAGGATCAGAAAAGAAGCGAGTAAGGTTGGATAACATCATGCGAGTAAGGGTCTTGGCTTAATGGAACTCTGTGTACAAGGGACCCTCCTGAATTATACCTCTTTGTAGGGACTGCAGGTACACAATGTCTAGCAACATCGGCACTATTTCCATTCAACACAAGAACAGACCTGGGAGAAAATGAAAAACAGTAAGATTCAAATCAAATGCAATTGACAACCTCCGGAGATGGAAATGGGGATTGGGATTTTCGTACCCGACAGGCAGGGGGATTGCAATCGGCCCAGAAAATTGACCAGGACCTACGATAGAAAGGTTTGTTCCAAAAACAATATTGCATTCACTGAGGAATGACACGGTGCAAAACGGTCGAACAAAATCATGGTTGTCAATATGGGGAGGAATACAGTCCTCTTCATCATAGATGTTCACAATGCAACTATCAGGAACACATGTTGGAGGAATCACATGCCATCTCACCAACCTTCTAATGATCACCTTAAAGAGAGAAGGAATTGAATCCACAATTTCACTTTGAAGAATTCCAGGAGGGTTGCCATTTTTATCCTGTCGTCATAATTTTTATTAGAATGATTTACCCTTTTTAAACATGATGCTCTAATTAGGGATACCTAACCGAGCATCCCAATTGGTCGAACGTCAAAAATGTAAACTTAAATTCAATTCAAAAGAACCACACCAACTTAGCAATCAGATAGACTCACAGCTGCATAATTGTAACAGCACCCAAACTGCAGAGTTACACGTCCCTTTCCCTTCATCCATTTTTTGGGAGCGGAAAATGTTCGTTCTGCAGAAAAAAAAAAACAAGTCAGGTGTTGCGTTCAAGTCACTATCATGTTTGTACAGAAAAGAAATTCAAAGAAGTAGAAACCAAATATGGGGACGATGGAGAAACATTAGCATGTATTCTCGCTATATCTGAAAATTGATTCCACACCCATACAGAGATTAAATTTTTCAATGTGCACCATGAACTATGAAGCCTCTAAATTTGATAACCAATCAGCAAATGAAGGCAGAGAAAATGCGACATGAACACAAATGAAGGCAGATAAACTGTGCTCAAATTTTCTTGGTGACTTGGTTTCAAGACAATATGCATCATGAACTATGAAATCTGTGAGTTTGATATCCAATCAACTAAAGAAGACAGAGAAAATGCCTGTGCTCAAATTTCCTTGGTGACATGGTCGAAGAATTATTCTAATTCCACTTAACAAAAATAAAAGCTGCTACTGGTTAGCCTCCTCACAATTCTCAGTTGTTTCCCCTAATCTGTTTGTAAAGGAATATGCCGAGAAATTTGTTATATTAGTAACAAAAGGATTCAGCACACTTGAGAAGGATAATAACCGAGATGCATGAACTCAAGGTCTAACGAACGGATTTTAAGATATAAATCCAAGAGAGCTGCTACCCTACAAAATCACCCCGGTAGGCTATAAATATGCAAGGTAATAAGGGAATATCGCGTTAGTGAAAAGAGAGAGCAAAAGGGAAAGCAATGATGTGAGATCCCACATTAGTTGGAGAGGAGAACGAAACATTCATTTATAAGGGTGTGGAAAACTCTTCCTAGTAGACGTGTTTTAAAACCTTGAGGTGAAGACCTTGAAGGGAAAGTCCAAAGAATATAATATCTGCTAGTGATGGGCTTGGGTTATTACAAATGGTATCAGAACAAGACACCGAACGGTGTGCAAGTGAGGACGCTGGCCCATAAGGGGGTGGATTGTGATCCTACATTGGTTGGAAAGGGGAACAAAGCATTTCTTTATAAGGGTGTGTAAACCTCTTCCTAATAGACGTGTTCTAAAACCTTGAGAGAAAGCCTTTGAAGGGAAGCCCAAAGAGGACAATATCGGCTAGTAGTGGACTTGGGCACAGGTGAGTCAGGGTGAGTCAGGAAGAAAGCAGTCATTAAATAGGGTAGATTATGAAGAGAGTGACCCTCTCATACAACCATTCTTATAGCCTAGTCTCCGAATGCTAATGCTACTCTTTAATTAACCGCACCACAGACTAACTCCATTCAATACAAAACATTTTATGAGATTACACGAGCATCAATAGTAGAGCCCCATTAACCAGATTATCCAAGGAATATAAGGCTTGCGTTGTGAGGTGGGGTTTAAAGTTCTTTTATCTATCGAGTGTACTAAGACCTGATGGAGGAAAGATTAAGTACCCTTCTAAGAGCCATAAACATATAGCAGGATAGCAGGATAAGTAAGCCAATCACTCAGAATAAAGAAAAACAATATGCAAACGGGAATGATACCTTTTAATTCTCCCTTCATGCCCATCTCCTGTAGTGCATAAACATGATCAACTATTCTCTTCTGTTCTGCAGCGCTAAAAATGCCTGTATGAAGCTCAAGTCCTTCAAGAATGTTTACAAATTTTCCTTTAAACCTCTCCAAACAAATAAAATCTTTCTTTCGTCCAACACTCATGAACCTGATGTACTCTCTTTGCTCTCTAGATAGCTTAGGCTTCTCAATAACCTTCGATATTGTTAATTTCCCGGCGTTCGCATTGACTATTCTTTTTTCTGTTTCGCATTCATCTTCCTCTTCTTCTAGTTCATCCTCCTGAGTCATGTCGGCCCACGACAATCGAGGCCCTGATGTCTTGGTGGAATTTAATTTAGAGGATGGCTCACTAGAAGAAGTTTCAGGTAATCCATCAGCTTCATTCCCTTCATTTATGCCATCCTGCCAACTCCCTAATGAATTTGTTTCCGCTTCATCTTTCCAACTTCCAAGAGAATTTGCATCACAAGCATCAACCTCATTTCCATTACTCTCATTCATGTCTTTCTCTCTTGGGGGAGATGCAGAACTCGAGTCCTCGTCGGGACGGACAGCTACAATATGATCAAATTCAGCAATTACATCAGACAATCCTAATGATTAAACAGAGACATCATCCAAATTATACGAACCATAGGAACATATAATGTAAACTACAGTAGACGCCTCACTCTTTTTAGCAACATAACAAATCAGGAAGTCCCAATGCCGTAATGCTTAAAGAAGTATGCAAGAACAGTAACAAACTACACACATACACTCAATTATTCTAAAGAATCTAGAAATTTAGATGGAATAATTTATCAAGAACAAATAGAAAGCAACAACAGAATACCTGGATCAAGGGCGCGGATTCGATCCGAGAGCAATTGCGTGCAATCTTGACAAAGATCTCTGGAAAGAAAGGGAAGCCAAGTGGTGAGAAACTCAGAAGCGATCCGTAGCTCTGAGGGCTTGTAATTTTGAAGAAAAGGGTCTTCCAATTTGAGGTGCTGATGACTAATCGCCATCGGCAAGTGGCGGGCAATCAATTGTGAGCGAGGGAAATGGTGGCTGTGAAGGTGTTGTTCAAGAAGCAAGAAATCGGTCAGAGCAGAACCGGAGAACTCAAGCGAAGCGATGGGGCTGAAAAATCAAAATTTTGGGAAACTTCGTTTGTGGACCGCAGAATTTAGAGCGAAATTGCAAATGATTTCCTAATTGGACATCGGTAGATGCAGATTTTTTAAGAGATGTACAAAAAACTGGATCAGATTCTCGCTCGGATCCGGTTTTAGATTCGGATTCCTTTCTTAATACGGTTCCTCCAAATTTGGGCCAATCCAAATATTCATACATATACATATATATCTTTCTTTTTAATTTGAGATAAGAATATATATATATATATATTTTTAAATTCAGAAAAAAAAAAAAAAGATAAATAATCATTATTTTTCAATATGTATTTGGTAAAAAAATTAACATTGATAAAGGTTTAGTTGAATCTTTATTTAATTAGATATTTTACCTCAATATCTATCAAGTTTGAAGGTAGCTAATTAGTGAAGATCAAAAACGTGATAATACACCATTTTGTATATCATTATAACCCATCGATATGTCTTTACTATTATTTAACAATAATTTAAACAATTTAAACGTTTCAAAAAATATCCCCATTTTTAAATTGTTGAATGATAAAAGTTGTTTGTTAGGGTTAAAATTAGAAAATAACCATTTTAAAAATATAAACTAATGGCCATTTAACTTTTTTTTTTTAATAATATATAGTTTTCGCAGGGAAGTGATTAGTATATTGTTTAAAAATACATTAAACTTTGGAAAGTTTCATTAATACTCTTTAAATAAAAAATAAAAAAAAAACTAAAAAAATAACCTTATCTATAATGTTATATTAAAAAAATACCCATTACATTTTAAAATTAATCATAACACCCTCTACCTTTTATAAAAGAAAATACTTGCCATCAATATATAGACAACAACCATCCGTCGACTATTATCTCCAAATTTTTTAACGTTAAAAAGTTTAAAGGCGTTTAAACTGTGTTTTCTCTCTATCTTTATCGAGGAAAGACCAAGATTAAGCAGTCGAACTATTTTGATTCATTTTTAAAATTGGGAGCCATTGTTTTCTCTCTATCTTACTCTGAAAGGTAGAAAAGGACTGAAAATATGTATCTTTATATCTATATATAATGATTCAACTCTAAAATTCTCAACTGTTCAACAAAAATAGTAATGTCATTCACAGCCAAACTTGCTTCCCTAAGTAATGAAGAACTCATAATCAATCAATATATTGGAGACTAGGAGAGCCAATTAAAACAACCAAAAAGTTGAGGTTATTGCCGCTAAATGAAAAATTGTTTCTCGAGGGAATGAAAGAAACTTACAGCACGAGAACAACCACCTCCTGAAGTCTGTCTAAATGTGATTATATGGCACTCAGTGGCAGAGAAAGTGAATCTCTTGGAGTCTTGCACCTGTTGCAAAAAAGGCATAAAAATACTGGACGTGCACTACAATGGAAGCTATCAAACTTCATGTAACAGCCTAAGCTTAAGCCTAAGTCTAAGCCCACCGCTAGCAGATATTATTCTTTTTGGACTATCCCTTATGAGCTTCCCCTTAAGGTTTTAAATTTAAAACACGTCTGCTAAGGAGAGGTTTCCACACCCTTATAAAGAAAGTTTCGTTCCTCTGGGAATCTCACAATAAGTCTACTAAATTAGGAACAAGAAGAACACAGAACACTCGAGCACTCTCCTGACAGGATTAATAATAAGACCCAGAAAATAAAATATCTATGCGTAATATAACAATCTGAATGCGTAATACAGACACATTCAACACGAATGTTAAAAAAAACTATGTTAAATGTGAAGGAGAAAAACCAAGTTAAGATGATTAACCTGTTACATTGCAAGCGAGACGCATAATTATGATTATTACAATTTGTGCACATCCAATCTCCGTTGCGCCACTGTTTTGCTCTGTGGATTCAATAATGCCAGGATTGGTCAATGTCAAACATTATGAACTAGAATTAATGACATCACAAGTCTTAGTTGCAGTTTGGCTAAGAAAAAAAGGGTTTTACTAGAATTTATGACATAATTTCGAAGGTCAGAGAAAATGAAATAGAGCTAGCTAATGCAAATACATATTATATTATACCCTTTCCCAAGGAGCGTTGGTGCAGTTGCTTGTTGGGGGAACTGCATTGGCATTTCCAAACTCGGAGCTATACCAGAACTTTCGTGGGGATAAGAGTTATATAATAGTCCCACATTTGGGTCACTACTGGAACCAACCATCTGCTCAAACCCTGGGAAAGACAGTTGTTGCTCATTTGTCTGATGCCAAGAAAAGAACAGCCAGTGCTCAGTTTCACCAAATTTTAACAGCAAATATTTCCTTAATATCAAATGTTTATCATTGTTTCTAATCCAAAAATAGTAGTAATAATAATAAAATTCTCTGATTTTTTTCTATGCACGGACCTGTCCAATATTTAGTCTCTTGTTATCCCATTGATGAACGAGTTCTTCGGATGCTAAGCGTTTCATTCCAAGTGCTGCATAATACAACAACAAAAAATAAAAGACAAAGAAAGAAAGTGAGTAGAATCCCCCAAGGGCGGATCAACTTCATGAAGAAATTTCAAATTCTAATCGACTTTATTTCCATTGACTTCTTTATCTCAGCTGTAACACCTTTTACCTCCAGAATAACAGCACAGCCACACCTAGGGCCAACTAAGTTTCTCCATTCTACTAAAATTTCCATCTTTCAAATATTAAGACTCCAAATCTAGATACGAATCAATTCATTCAACACAGCAACAAAGAATATAAATAGACTAAATAAAACAACAGAAAGATTTTTTGTGCGCAGGACACCACAGGTTCAAAACTGATGTCATACATTACTACAAATCCAAAATATGAATCTATTCATTCACGTAATAAAAAAATGTGATAGATTGGATAAATGAAACAATAGAAACATTTTTATGTGCAGGAGACCACAGGTCCATAACTCCTTCTTACATGCAGAAACTATAAAAGAGCTATATAATTTCGTCTCCTAACGTTAAAGAAGAAGTCCTAGTGCGAGCATTTGAAACCTAGAGAGACAAAGTTGGATGTACCTTGTGGTGAAGCATTGCATTTTTTGCACTGCAAGTAAGACAATGTTTAGTTAGACAAGCAAACAACAGGTATGGGAAACTAAAAGCATCGCTAGGAAAAGAAAGAAAACGACTCGATACAGGAAGGTGAAAGCCCCACCTGTGCACGAGAAGAGTAATTATGGAAGCCACAGTTGCATATCCAGTCACCATTTCGCCAACCCTTCGGAACTGAAAGGATCTGATTAGGGGAACTCATATACGAGATTGCAGAATTATTTCCACCCAAAGGAAATGCCGGAGCTGCATGAATTTCATACTTATCAGCACCTCCCAGGGACCAATTGGAGCTCAGAGGATGCAGTTGCTGTAAAGGGCCATTTCTTAATCCAAGATTCATCTTTGTATCCAATCCACCTTGGGTCCTGGCAAAATAGTGTGAATAAGTTGGAAAAGAAGCTCCATGGATTGCAATTGCTGGCATTGCTGCTATCTCCTTTGGTTGGCCACACTTTTTGCACTTCTCTCTTGATGCATAATTGTTGTTAGTGCAACCTATTGCACCAGAGCCAGACAAACCCAACCCACAAGCAAGCCAGGTATACGCACACCAAGCAGTCCATCCACACCAAATACACATACAAAAAACACAAACGACTCATGACTCAAACCTAATTTTTCATTTTCCTGAAGTAGGAGTTCGCTGGAATTGAAACATTAATGAAGAGGGAAGACAAAAAAACAATCCTCAGAGAAAATCTTAAACTAGTGATAAAGATGCAATGGAGATTCCTCCGATTTGCTAAAAACAGAAAACTGTTCGTACATAGATGCATATCCCTGATTCTCGTGAAATTTTCCTGGTAAGGTAACTGAATATGTTCTTGAAGAAGTTTAATGGAGCTAAATTGAAAATTTTCAAGAACTATCAGCTCATTTCATTTAGCCCGAAAACTGGAATTTCAAAGCACGAGACCTCGTCAGATTAAGCGTAATAAAACTAACTCGAAAACTTTCCTCCTGTAACATTTTAAAAGAGAAAGAAACAGTACCCTCAACCTAAATTCCGACACCAAGGTGTGTCAGAAAGAACTGAATGAATAGTGCTGCACTAAAATTCTAATTGAACGTTGAGTACCAAGTTCAGCGAGCAAATCCAACAAAACGAAATCGAGAATATAACATAAATTGCATGTTGCAAGGAAGAACAGCAACTACAGTTATTATAGGAAGCTAACCCGTGCAGATCCAGTCGCCGATGCGAGGAAGCCATTTGGAGTCTGGAGGGGTTTTATTGTCGACGAGAAGGCGAGGTTGTTTGCATCTGTTACAGAACGATCGGAAAGCATAGTTCCTGTTCTTGCATCCACTACACTCCCAATCGCCTTCTTTTCCTTCGCCCATTACTGCTACTTGTGACGCTGCTTTTCTTTCTATCCCCTCTTTCACTCCATCCATTGCTCGATATATTTAGCTCAACTGATGGTCAAAGAACAACCAGTGTGCTCGAAAAGGAGATGGGTAGGCGAAATTTCCGCCTCCAGCACGCGCCAAGGGCGTTTTCTTCTTCTTCTTCTCTGGATGGGCTGGCTTGGCACCGTTTTTGTGGCGGCCTTCGTGGGCTCCAACTTCGATGGCCTTTTACGGCTCCAGTAAGCCCTGTGTAAGCTTTTGAGGTTTTTTATAATTTTATTTTAACAGTACAAATTGGTTTCTAAAGTTTTTCCCATCCCACCTATTAAACCGCTCCCTAATATATATGTTAAAAAATTATAAGGGGATGACAATTTATAATAGGTTAAATCTAACGATATATTTGTAGTGAGTTTGAACTCGGGCAGTCACAATTGATATTAAAGCAGACATTGAACAGTGTGCCCTATAAAGATATTGATCTCTAAGTGGATATATTATGAAATCTCACATCGATTCGAGAGAGAAACGAAATATTCTCTAAGGGTATAGAAACCTCTCTGGATCCACCCTATCTCGAATCTAGTGAATGGATATGCTCAATTGTTGTGCGAAAATGAACCTAAATTGCCACAAAATAACAAACAGTTAGGATTGGAATTTAGAATATTGTTGACTTTTATAGCTTAGTGATGATCAGCACACG